CTAATCTTCTGAGCACTCAAAGCGCTTTACACAACTTGTGCATTCATACCCATTCGCACAAGCACATTTTCTTGGTGCTTTCTAACTAACATTCACACACCCGTTCATTCTCAGATGGATGCATCGGAGAGTAATTTGGGGTTAGTATCTTGCCCAAGGATATTTGGCATGCAGACTGGGGGAAGCCAGGAATCGAACCTCTAACCTTCCGATCAGTAGATGACCTGCTCTAACATTGTTGCAACACATTTAAATAACCCCCTGACTGTACTGCCACAGAGTCAATATTTCTGTCAAGTACAATTACAACACATAAGTAAACAATTGAGCAATACTTCACCTAAACTGGGCTGAGTCTCGAATGTCCAGAACACACTTCAGAGTCTGAAGCCACACTATCAGCAGATGAGCCATGATGGAGTTTGTTCACGTTGCTGTAGCTGTGCTCGGTCTTCTGTCTCTTGGACACTCAGCTCCTGTGACAAGCTGTGAGAATCTAATCCAGCCTCTTGAAATCTACGGCAATCAGGTCAGACTCTCTCTTATCTCACCTTTCACTTATGACTTTCTGCACATATACGCTGAGTAAAATAAGTTTTGAACATGCCACCAAATTTACATGAAATTCACACCCGATGTGGATAACCACCCATCCAGTCCACACATACAAAGAAATCAAACCATTGATATCCATAAATTAAGCTGTGTTATAATAAGAGGAAAAGTATTGAATATATAGAAAGGAAGGTGCAAAAAGGCATGGAAAGTCATGACACCAGCTGAAATCTATCAGCAATTACAAAGCAACCCTGCCCCCTAGTGCAAATTAATGTTAGCTGGTTCTGTTCTAACTGATGGCCTATAAAAAGTTGTCTCATTACCAATGTGTCACACAAGAAACATCTCATGATGGATAAAACCAATCCATCAGAATTACTAAACTAGTAAGTAGCAAGTAAATAAATTTTAATTTATATAGTGAAACAGTGAAAAATTTAATTAAGAGCTCGTTTGTATAAAAATGTCTTCAGCTGCTTTTTAAAGGAGTCAGTGGAGTCTAGAGAGCGTAAAGACAACAGCAGGGACTTCCACAGCCTCTGTGCCAGTGCCAGTGCCTGAAAAGCCCGATCCCCATGTGTTTTAAACCTAGTACTTTTCAGATCCAACATAACCAGAACGGTTGTGTTGGATCTGAAGGTTCCAGTGAGCACTGTTGGGGCAGGAGAGAACATCATTTCACCATAAACTGGCCAGGACCAGCTGCTCCCCACCAGTTTTCAGACAGGGGAGTGAAAAGAATTATCAGAAGAGTTGTCAAAAGCAAAGGAGCACTTGCGAAGAGCTACAAAAAGACTTGGAATCAGCTCAACTGCTGTGGCCTGTATGCACGCTCACCATACAAGACTCCATTGCTGAAGAAAAAGCATGCTAAAGCACGTTTAAAGTTTGCTGAACAAAATTTAGACAAGAGATACTAGCAGAATATACTCTGGTCAGTAGAGATGTGATGGCTGCACTTACAGCCACACAGTGGTAATACCCACCATGTTAGTGTAGAGGCTTATAAGTAACATTGCAGTCACATTTCTTTCTTTAAATATAGGAATTTGTTTACAGGACAATAAATAACTGGTTTTGGTTTAGAGTTAATTTACATATCCACATAACACTGCATTCTAAAATAAGTGCACACATTTTAGTTTACACTGTTATGTATGATTAATTTTTTGTTTTCTGAGTTACCTTAGTTGCAGCTGTTCCAGTCCCTTGATTAAGGAGCCAAGAGGTGGAAAAGGGGCGGAGCGAGCTTTAAAGGAAGACTACAAATTGGTTCATGCCATAACTCAGGACCATGGGGGGGAATTGAAGTTCATTATGTTTGGTTTAGTTAGGTTTTGTGTGTTTTACCCCTTCTCCTGTTTTTGTGGGCTGATCAGCCACTATTTAAGTTTCCCCTTTGTCTCATTAAGTTAGGTCAGTTTGTTTGAGTTATCGACTTTGAGTAGAGTTTTGTTATTTTGACCTCTTTTATGGGCCCAAGATTTTGATTCTTTTTGCATGAGTTAACCAATTATGTTTTTTGGGTTAAATAAAAAGTCATTTTTTTGGACTTTAACCTGTGCCTAAGTTTCCTTCACTGCTCGGTCCGTCACAAGAGACCAAAACTGAACTGATGCTATAATACATGCCATGTCTGGAGGTCAAAAGGCACTGCATATCACCCCAAAAACACTATACCAGCAGTGAAGTTTGGAGTTGGGAACATCAAAGTATGGGGCTGTTTTTCGTCATGTGGCACTGGAATGGTTCATATAAATGGAGGAAGATGAATAGAAAAATGTTCTGCTAGCATCTACCAGGATGTTGAAGATGAAATGAGGACGGACCTTTCAGCAAGACGATGATCCCAAACACAAAGCCAAAGAAGCTGCTAGAATGACAGCCAATCACCTGTCCTGAATTTAATTGAAAATCTATAGATATAATAGAGTTTAGAGTTCATAGCAGGGCTCACAGAACGTTCAGAATTTGAAGACCATTTGTGTAGAAGAATGAACCAAAATCACACCTGAGCGATGAAGTTGTCATTACCAACAAAAGCTTTTGCATGAAGTATCAAATACAATTTCAGTAAGCATGTTCAATACTTTTTCCTTCTTTCATTTCTCATTATTACACATGACATCTATAGTTTGATTTCTTTGCATGTGTGGACTGGCTGGATTGTTACTGACATTTGGTGAGAATTTTATGTCAATAGCACCTTTAGAAATGTATGTACTGAGAAATCTGGTGATGTTTTCAATACTTATTTTACCCCCTGTATATTAAACACCATCTGTTTCAGCTGGTGGGAAAATGGACACAAATAGCAGCGAGCACAGGCATACCTGGATCCAAAATGCTGATGAAGATGCTTGTGGTGTCCGCCTGGATGAACACCACTGCTGCCACTGAGGCTAATAAGTTCAATAATCTCTACATTCAAAAAATGTAATAAAAATGATAAAGCCTTGCCTGAACTGATACTGTTTTCAAGTAATGTGAATTTAGAAATCTCTTTAATTTTATCTTTTAAAAGGATGGGCAAGTGTTTCGCACTGAAAACCACCATGACTTTGGTTAACAACAGTTTGGGTGAGTATTAGTGAGGGAACAAACATTCGATGACCAGATTTAGACTTTGATTTAGACTTTGGACCTAGCATTGCCACAACACTTTTAGTATATATCGATTGGTGTGTATTTGCACACTGCAGCTTTACCCTTACCAATGCTAAAAGAATATGAAGTATGGCCATCATCTGTCATCTGTCCACAGAGCTCCATAACCAATATTCTGCTGTCCTGCTGAATACTGGCTGTCCTGACTGCCTTGTTATCTTCGCAAATGACACCATTGGAAGAACCACAAGCAAACTCAATCTCCTGAGTAAGAACAATGACACACTAAATAATGTAATGTCAAAGTACTTAAGTATTTTTTATGAGACGCCGGCCACTAATTTCCAAAATAAAACAATGACTAATAATTGAACAGTGGTTTCCACTGTTCTACAGCTTAATAAATCGGAACACTGCCCTTTGAAATACCAGTTACAAATAACACTTGCCAGTTAAAGGCATATTTAGAAATATTTCTTTTTTTTTTTTTTTTTTAAAGAATAAAACATCTAAAAACATGCAGTGCTGTGAGAATGTATTTGCACCCTTCCTGGTTTCTCTCTATTTTACATATTAGTCACACTTAGATATTTCAGATCATCAAATACAATTTTAGATTAGACAAAAATAACCCAAGCAAATAGAAAACACAGTTCTTAAAGGAATATTTCCTTTACATGGCACTGTGTGAAAAGGAAATTGTCCCTAAACCTAATAATTGGTTATCAAGAACTGAAATCAAGCATTTGCAATCATTAGCAATGAGTCTTTCACATCGCTGTGGAAGAATTTTTCAAAACTCTACTATGTAGAGTCCGTTCAATTCAGCCGCACTGGATTGGATTTTCAAGCATGAACAGATTTTGAAAGCCATTCAGAGGTGGCCTTGCTCATGGCCACAAATTCTCCTTCAATATCATGGTTCCTTCAATTGCAGCAAGTGGTCCAGGTCCTGAAATAGCAGCAGCAGTTGTTTCTTTGTGTTTTAATCTCTTTACTTACTTGGTGCCGTGCTAACACTTTTTCTGTCTCTCAGGTAGGAGAACTAAAGTGTCTGCTGCTGAGCTGGAAGAGTTTACAAAGCAGGCAGAGTGTCTGAACCTACAACCACCTGCTATCATGGATTCAGAAAAAGGTATAAACCTTTATATAATATTAAAACCTAGCAACTGAATGTTACTTCTTCAATCTAATATTATCTTTATACTCTTTATATTTTTGTAACCACCATGTTTGATAAGGTCATAGATTAATCAAATTTATGAATGAACTTTATTTACAAATGTCTTCTTGCAGGGTTTTGCCCAGATCCAGCGCTCAGCCCAGGAACAAACACTATTGATCTGACCTTGAGCAGCATAACGCCCGATGATTTCAACCCATTTGAGAAGCTTTTCACTGAGAGTGGAATGAAGACCATTTTAGACATGGTCCAAAGTAGTCTGGATCTATTCAAGGAAGACTGAAGTAGTCATAAATGTCACTAAGCCATTCTTCTCTGACCTCTGGTGTTAACACATTTTCTAAATCTAAAGCCTACTTGATCTCTTTGTCCGACCACTCTCTGTAAACCCTAGATCCATGCTATGTTAAATGTTACTCAAATCAACTGTCTTACCCATTCTGATGTTCCGATTTGAGCTTCAGCAGGTTATCTTGCGTCTTCATGCTTAAATAAACGGAGTTGCTGTCATTTGATTGGCTGATTAGAATGAAAGAGCAGGTGGACAGGTGTACCTTACAAAGATGCCTGTCAGCGCTTATTATCTAGCAAATAATAGCAGCCAAGGAAGCAGTTAATAAAAAAATGAGTTGAAGAGAAGAATGTCCATACCTTTGTTTAATTAAGTTTATTCCTTTACATACATCTGCTCATGAGTCATGTATATACATTTTCTGTCTCTCAGACACACACGCACACATACGACCACTCAAGATTATATAAAAAGGACTCATTTTTTGTGCAGGATTTCATCACAGTCAGATCTACATCGGAACATTTGCTTCTGCAAACATCATGCACACACACCACAAATATGCATACGGCCCTATGCCTCGCTTTACACAGAACAGTTCAAAGTATAGAAAAGTGACAGATGAACCGACAGGCAAACCAGCAGTAATCAAGTGAATTTGGGTCTTTTAACATAAAAAGGCTAAATCTGTTTTTTGTTGGTGCATGTGCTTCCTTCACTTTCTAAATAGGAAGACCACAGAAATGTTATAAAGGTTATTCTTTTTTTTCTCAGGGATATTTCCAAATCTTTAAATGCATCGTTTAGCAATTACTCAAAGTAACGTGTGACGCGTGTACTATATGCGACACCCTGGTGTAACAGTGAGATTTTGCTACATTTTAGGGCTTTTCAAAATCTAGTACAATCCCCTGAGTGTGATCCATGCAATCACCAGACCTCAGTGAACAAAAACTAAGTGGCTTAGCTCAAATTCTTGACATACATAACCTCATAGTCTTCTTATGCTTTCACAAAGGTGTGTGGAGCAGGGAAAGACAATTATACAATCTACTCAAAAAGGCCTTCTTTCAGATTTCCATCTGTTCCTCTCTTTGTCAATGTCAAACATATGCAAGATTTGTGATGTGCTTCACGTTTTGATCTGTGACATGGAAACATTTGTTGAAGTAACCATCATGAAGTAGGATTACAGGCTAAATAACTCACTCAGAAACAAGGCTTCATAATCAACATTTTATAACAAAGTGGACTTCTCTGGAGCTGAAAAATCCTGCTAACATCGAACTGCCACCGGCTGCAGCTCCTCATGTGACCACCTGAGGCAGGCTCCAAAAGACCTTTTAACCATGTTTGTGGCACTCAAACCTTTTTAGGTTGCTTTTAATGGATTTACGCGAAAAATAATAACTGCCTATTATTTAGCAGTTCTTTCTGCTAAATATGGCCTATAAATGCCCCTTGCTTGTCAGGCTAGCTGATAACTATAGATGATATAAAAAATGGACATGGCTCCAAGACCTGAAAAAAAAATGAAGCCAATGTGGAAGAGCCAATACTTGCACTCAGTTGTGATAAAAAAAAACCCCAAAAAACAAACAAAAAAAGAGTTCAGGTTCTATAGAAGTCTTTGGAAAAACTGCAATCAAATTAGACACACTTTACTACTATACGGAGTGCATTTTGTTACTTCCCTTTGAGGTCTGTTACCGGTGTTCACTAACTTCTGCTGGAAAGAGCGGCATGTTTACATATTAGCAGACTGTGGAGAGTCTGAGCTTTTTTTCTGAAAACAACTGGTTCAAACTGGAAGACAAAAACGCCTCATAGAACAGAGTAGGGCTGAAAACTTCTTTACACATATTAGACCTGCTTCATTTCCTTGTTGATTGTTTGAGTTTCCCCATACTATATTGAACGCCCAAATCCTGCTTCATGACACAGATCACTTGTACCACATAACACCTCACAAGGTGAACTCTTATTCTTTATGCTCATCTCGAGTAAGTTTACATCTAAAACAGAATATCTGCCTTGTACACATCCACATCCTCTAGACACGAGTAAGCCAAGGTCAGCAGATAATCAACACCTTTACTTGGCCTCTCTTATGTACAAAGCGATTGTGTGCTTTAGTCACGACACAAGACCCCAGAGAGAAATAAAACAACCAAGGCATTCCTTTGCAGTTACACAAAAGATGCTTATTTCATCAATGCACGCTCACATTTATAAATTACTTAAACTAAAAGATTGAAGTATTTTTTTTTCATTACCAAAGAAGAGTATCCTCTGTTTGATTTGTCCAATTTCGGTTATTTTTTTTGCTTATGTTTGACACACATAAAAGTTTTGCAAGCATTGTCCGTCTTTTCTTTCAACAAAACAGAAAACAAACCTTCAAATAATAAAAACAAAGAAGAAGAAGAAGAAAAAGAAGGAAAAAAAAAAAAAAAAAAAAAAAAAAAAAAAAAGCTTTTCTTTAACACCGGTGGCCGTCTCTTCAAGAGTCAGCCCACCACCTGGACACATGTTTAAAACAAACTGCTCCACGTAGCCTGTGTAGCATAAAGACCCATTCATACAGTACAGTCAAAGTGTGTGATTGTCACTGGGTTAGGTTGATGCACAGTGAAGTGACGTGAAAAGAGGCCAGAGGATGCCTGGTATTTGAATAGTGACATTGAGTTCAGCTGTTTTTGCCACTGGCCCAACATGTTCCCGCAGGACCCCCACGTTCCGCTACAGCGTCGATTTGGATGAAGGCTCTTTTGAAGTTCAGTGTTGCGTTGCTTCCTCTGCCTTTAACAAATCGAAAGCACCAAACCAACTATTACAAATGCACTGGCGTGTACTTTTTGCAGGTGAAGTTGGTGGTGTAACATATGAAAGTGTTTTATTGATTGATATATTTTTTAATCATGGTCTGTCTGTGCCATGTGCTTCGGTTAGGAAACATAAAAATGACAAATTTCCAGTCGTGGCTCCCAGAACTCAATTTGAGAGTCTAGTCTCCAGGTATAGTTCCAAAGATCAAGAAAATTGTCCACGGCTGGTTCTCCCCTCACATCCCATAGGCTGATATAGGTTTGCCCAGCTGGCCAAGGTTCAATGGTGATGTCACCCCCCCCCCAAAAAAAAAAAAAAAAAAAGTATGGGGCTGCTGGATTTGTAAACAAGGCTGTAGATATGTTATAGGGAATGGATCCAAGAGAAAACAGGGAGAATAAATGTCAACATAAATGCTGGAGTATTTAAGGAACTGTAATAATTTGGGAACTTTACAGCCATCGTGATTCTGTGACAGCGGCAGGCAGCAGAAGAAGTTTCAGATCAGCTGTAGTCAGGCTAGTCCGGTCTGAAGATCGGGACCTTAGGTAGGAATTCTATTAGGATTACCTGCAGGGAATAGAACAAAAGGCTCTCAGTAGTGAGTCAGGGATGTTTCAACAAGATTTAAGTCTTAAGATTTAGGCTGTGCTGAGCCGACCCGAGTAGGTATTGATGGAAAAAAAAACTCACTTCACTTGGAGAGGTTTGGCCACAGCGTTTATATCAAAACAGCCACCATCTCACATCTAACTGGGTCACAGATGCAAACCTGTGCAAGCCTATTTGTTTACTTCTGAGTGCCAACTTAACTAAGCAGATCGTGCTAAAGTTACTTTTTCTGAAATACAAAAAAAACCCCAAAAAACAAGCAGGCTGCCCGTGGCTATACGCAAAACTAGGGCTGCTCAATTAATCGAATTTTAATCACGATTACGATCTGGGCTTTCAACGATCATTAAAAATGACGGAGCCGATTATTAGCCCCTCCCTCATTTATCCGCGACACCTTAAAGGCCGGTCCGTGAAAATATTGTCGGGCATAAACCGGTCCGTGGCGCAAAAAAGGTTGGAGACCGCTGATTAAGAGGACCCGAGGGAAGCTCGGAAAGCTAAGCAGAAGTTATTTGGAGAGGAGAGTGACTGCCGTTGGTTGAAAAGAGAGGTTAAAAACAAAATACTTCAGTGGTGTTGCACACTATTTTATATTATTTTTTAAAGTCATTGTTAACCCTTTAAAGCCGGTCAGAGCAGCATGCTCCGTTCTGTGTAACTATTTTTAAATCCCTGTAGAACCAGAACCGTGTAAGCTAGCGCAATAACCCGGAGGAGTTGTACTTACATCTGATGCCATCAGCTTGTCCTCGGTCACGGTTTCCTTCCACATAAAGCTTTGCAAAAATTGCATAAAAAGCGGTTGCAGGAACAAAAACATAATATTCCAGAAACAGCTTTGCCAATCCGATCAGCTGTTCGTAACACTTCCCACAGTGAAACAGACGTCAGCGCGAACTATCACATGTCCGCCATTTCCTGCCCGAAACCGGAAGTGATGTCATTTTCGCGGAAATTGTAGTTTTTTACTTGTAGGCCTTAAAAGCCTATACTGGTCATGTTTGACTTTTCTGAATAGTTTCTGAGATGCTTAGAACTCGAATTGCACTGCTGGAAATAGTTTATTTTGATGCAACTGCTGTTTTCTTTGCAAATTTGCATCATAGGATTGTTTTTTCGTTTTTCCTGCAGTATATAAAAATTGGTGTATCTCCAAAATAAAACTATGAAGACACTCAAAATAAATTTCCTGTTGTTGTAAAGTATTTTTTGCAACTTTTTTGTATTTAAAGTTTTGAGGGATAAGCCTCTTAAATTTCTCCAAGCAGAAATATATGTAAAAAAAACAAAAACGATTTTCAATTTTTTTTGTAGTTTATTGCACTTTTTTGCAATTAATGTAGTTACTATGGACTTAATGCATACATATTATTAAAATATGGGCTATAATAGTTGTATAGCAACTTGAAATGCTCCCACAAATGGCACTACAACATGTAAAAAAATAATATAAGCTCTGGCGGACTTGGTTCTATAGTAGGTCTTAAAGGGTTAAATAAATATCGTCAAATAATCGAGATCTCAATTTCAGTGAAAATAATCGTGATTATCATTTTTGCCTACGCAAAACTATGAAAAAGAGGAACTGGCTGATGGATAAATGGCTATTGTGTTACCATTATGAGGAAGCCAGATATATTAACAGATAACAACCACAGAATATTACATTTTGTGTATCTTTACAAGAATCAATATGCTGCGTTTATATTTAGAGGAGCATGTCAGCCTCTTCTAAACACAATTAAACTGGCACAGAATCAGATGAAGTAGCTGAAAGCTGGCTGGATAAACAACATCTGTATATAAAAGCCCAGACACCATGACACAAAATTGCTAATGTTAGTAATAAGAAACGCTAATACTAGTAGGTTAAACTAATTTGTAATATTTTGTTAATGCACAACAAAAGACAAGGTGGTACACAACCACTAGCCAGGGCTGTGGATTGCAGGAGCCCCATTTACTCGACAACTAAATATACTCAATTAAAAAGTTGTTGTTTTTTTTCTACCCCTTTCTTTTGGACTGAGCAACAATGCGCTACACTAATCGATCAAAGACACGCAAGCATACACTGCAGATACAATAACTGCCTAACATCTGCGCTCAAAAAGGTTGGAGATATGATACTTTTCCATGGTGCAGCGATAAACCTGTAACTACATGAACAACCACAAACCAACCTTCGGCACAATTTATCATCTGAAATAGTACCTCTTGAGTTAAAATCAGCAGCTTTTTAACGCAATCTGGTAGTGGGTGTAACACCTAGTATACTTTCTTTAACTGTACTGGGATAATTGCACCACTGAAAAGAGCTAATACTTACATATTCCATCATGTTGTTGGTTTCACACTTCCTTTTGCTTAGTCTCCAATGCAAACACAACTACACAGAAACAGTGATTATAGAAGATTAGATAAGTTTCATCAACCCACACATTTCAAATGATGCCTTCATTGCTTACCTTGTGGTAAAGTCTGCTGTTTTCCCACTCCAAAAGTTTCTCTATAGATCTTCTTGTCTGGAAAAAGATATTAGATGATACTGTTGTGAAAAAACGGCCTCATATCAACTTAGGGCACAACATTTTTTGTTGTGTTCACTGTGATGCTGCAACAAATGCGTAACATTTTCAAACTGTGGGACGAAGTGAATGGGCATCTCACCCTTTTGCTGAGGCAGATGACGGGCCACAAACTGAAGCCCAGTGTGCAACAGCAGCAAAGACAACCACACAGAAGCCACCGCACATTCACCGGGAGCGTCTTTCTTAGGCAGCTGTTCACACGATTGATACTGGCTTTGAATTCCTCTGGCGCCACCTAAGGGAAGCACACAGTATTACTTTTATTATTAAAAGTATGTATATTCACACTTTTAGCACCATTAAATGTGGATCAAATATCTGTATTTCGTACAAAAAAAAAAAAAAAAAAAAAAAAGAGGAAAGAAATTAATTTAAATGACGCACTACATGTTGATTCTGATCTAAATCCCACGGTCATGGTTTGCTTTCAATAAAAACAACACACTCACCTTTCCTGTAAGTGCTGAAGGAAATTCTGACTCGAATTTGTTACTGAGTCCAAACCTGAAAGTAGGTAAAAAATTACATTTTTACTTACAACATTAAAGATGAAACTGTATCAGACATGAACCACTATTAGAGATTTAATATACTTTTAGTGCAGAAATTAAAAATCACATCACAACATCTTTCTGAGACCCACAGCAAAGAGAAGCTATTTACTTTATCAGAACAAAAATAATTATTTTATAATTCATCTAAAACATTCAAAGATAATGTATAATACACAGTTCAAACATCCCATACATCTGTGTACTATCACACAGACCTGCTTATTTAGCTTCTGTCACTGTTAATTTTGAATTACACAAACAAATCTAATGTTCAACGCAAAGAGCAGCGTAGTGTAAAACACTGTGAGAATGAATGTGAGGCACTGTTAAATTAAAGAAACAGTACCAGTAGGTTAAACTCCCCAAAACAGTAAGGACACAGATTTATGTTTGGAGGTAACTCAACTGTAAGCTCATTTCCACCCAACTAAACTGGACATTTAAAAAAAAAAACCCAACTTTTAAATCCACAAATGTAAATTGGCTGAAATACGGAGGTATATTCATCCATTCAAGGCACAAAACTTTAACAAACTGCAACCTTTATCCCTTTCCCGTCTTTATTCTTAGTATTTGTACGCTTGATACTCTTCCTTTTTTTTTTTTTTTTGAAGAGACAAGGTAAGATAAGCGGAAAAAACAAGTTAAGCGTATACTTGTTTGGAAAAAAGCTCTACTCTCAGTACAGTCAACTACTTAAGAATACAATTTCTTTACTCAAGATATGGTAGGTTATTACTAGCTTTAATTGTGAGAATACCTATTTACGGACACAGTACTGTCTTGTGTTGTAATGATCGGTATAAACAGCTCTGGAAGTCTGTACTTAACTTCAGAAAAATGAAACCAGTGATGGGAACACGTTGTCACAACTTGACAATAGCTACAATAAAAAAATATCAAGAAAGGTCAAATTTATCTGTAGCTAGACCCGATCATTCACTTCTCGGTTAGTTAGCTTGCTGCTAAGTTAGAAGCTAACTAGCTAGGCTAAGCCAGACAGCGGCAGCTAACGCAGCTAGCCACCGGTTACCCACGGAAAGCTGTGTTAGCCGCCGCATTTTACAGTAACGTTAAACTGTTTTGTAGACCCCCGTGAGCTCTGTCAGTTCCTTACACAGTTACGTGACCGGACCCTCGCACCACTACCGGGTCCGGAGCGTACTTAAGGAGCTGTTCTTCCGCGGCCCTGTCCTCGTCCTCCTCTTCCTCCTCCTCCTCTTCGTAGATCTCATCAAAGTCCTCCATCATCGCACGACTCGGCCTCGCGCTTCCCGGGACAGACACCGGGAGAGACACGATGCCGACAAACAGCGAAACCTTAAAGAGAAATAGGACAAAAAGTATCGGGGAAGACGGCCACAAAAATATCGAGCAGTCCCGGAGACGATACAGTTTCACATCGTTCTGAGATCTCTGAAACAAAACATCAACATCCGCCGCAGTAACCGTACGACACCGGAAGAGGGACAGACTTCTTTTCAGACTTTTTTTTTTAACAAGCCGATTCACAAAACAAGGCTTTGGTGTCGCGTGTAATTCTTATATGTACTGTTTGTTAAATAAAATAAAATAAAATATGATAGCAATCCATTTTGTTTGGATGCACTTTTCATAGAGGTGTAATTGAGGAATGTACAGATGTACAGAAAAACACCAAGAACAGCACAATTCACAGTTAAACAACGAAGGCCACTATATGAAATAACAATATATAAAATATGTAAAACTAATTCGAGAAATATTTGTAAACAAGTATTCAATTACAGCTCTCTGCAATGTACTAACCCAGGAAGATGGATATGTGTGTGAATGTGTGTGTGAATGGGTGGATGACTGGATGTGTAAAGCGCTTTGGGGTCCTTAGGGACTAGAAAAGCGCTATACAAATACAGGCCATTTACCATTTACCATCTGTAAAAATCCCAGGTCATTCCACAGATAGATGTTTTTGAAGGCATCTATCTGTGGAATGACATTCACTGCTCTCTAGTGATACTGATATTCCACAGCACATTTTATTTAAAAAATCAGAGTTATCACAATTTGACGCACTGATGCGTGTGAGAGGTTCAAATGGCAAAAAATATTTGTCTCATTTGCTCAGTAAAACAAAGGGAGAACTGAAGTATTGCATTAAGTTTCCTTCATGCTCTTTGAGCTGAGTTATTATTATTTATAGTTTTCATAATTATTGACTGTAGCATTTAATCACTGGCAGTTTTATGTCATTTTAAAAACCTTTATAAACTATTGAGCTTTTCAGTCGGTGTTTCACAGTCTAATATGGTGTCTTGATGCATACTCAATCTCCCAACTATTTAGGAGTCTTGCATGTTGTTATATGAAGATTATTCAAGTATCTTAAACTTGTACAAATACTTGTGGTAAAGAAAAAAGTGCATCTCTTCACTTTGAGCAGAAGGCGCAGAGGTGTGAATGATAGCTAGAGGATGGGCAGTTAAAACCGGAAGCTGAGCAAAGTCTTTTTCAAAATATGACTTGAATGTCGTTGGTTAAATCTTAGAACATACATGTTTTTACTAAAATAAATTAGAGGGAAACTTATTTTGAAAGTTTTACCGAGAAGTTTTCTTATTACCCATGCTAGCCGCCCTGATTCATACCTAGCTAGATGTTTGTACAGTAAGTTAATTTGGTGTGCTTTTTATCGATATATTGCATCACAGACTGCACGCCATTTCTATCCATCAAAAAGGAAACATCCTGAGAAAGTCACAGAAGCCTTCGGCTCGAAACATCCCGGAAATGGCACTTCTTCCTCTTTAGGAAGTGAAGACATCGATGAAGCAGTTCGGCAAGTCTTGCTCAACTTCTATTTAGCTCATTAATCGTGGATATCCTGAGTTGGATGATAAAATGGCTCTCACTGAGCATATTAAGATGATCTGCAAAATTATCAAAGATATTGTTCCAGCTTTCACCAGCGGGATTGTCACAGTGAGCATCATATCGTGTGTTTTATTTGCAATCCAAACATGTTTGAGCTTAAAACAAGGCATCTTCAGCATCGGCGCAAGTGTTTTTCAAAACGGACACCTATACTGCATCCTGATGTTTCCCTTTTACCACCGAACCTTTGCTCAGCTTCTTCTGAACATCACAACTTTGGTGTTTCTCAGCGGGAGCTTGGAGAAAGGTGTGGGGACGGTCCGTTTCCTCTTTCTGTTCCTCCTGCTGTCCTCGATCATAGGCTTGTTTTACAGCTTCATGGATCTCCTGCAGGAGGACGGCTTCCAGGGTCACACTGAGGGGTTGGTTCCCGTCACTCTTGCCTCTGTGGCTATAACTACCATGCACACAAAGATGACTAAAGCCTTTCTATGTGGAGTGAGTTTTCCCACTATGGCCCTTCCTTGGGTGTTCCTTGTCATCACCACTGCTCTGGTCCCTCACTGTGTGCTGCCCTGTAATGTGATTGCCATCCTGGTTGGGGTGATGTACGGTAAAGGATGGGTCTCTTTTCTGGACATGTCTGAGGCAAAGGCTGGAGTTCTGGAGAAGTTGTTGCCTTTCAGGCTGTTCAGGACCGTCAGCGGTGATATGTTCATCCCAGCTTCCTCCGAGGACAGGAAGAAGACCTTGCTTCCACAGATCAATCCCACACCTGGGTCTTACCCAGTGCAAGCTTATGCTCCATTACCCACTGCCAACACTGCTGCCATGACTTATGAAGGCTGGCCACACCAGGCGAGTCCCACACCACCTCTTAGTCTTCATGGACATGTTGCAGGACACAGCTCTGGACACTTTTCACCACAGAGTTTCGACCACAGCTGCAACCACAGTCACAGCCATGGCCACGGTCACAGTCATGGTCATAGCCATAGCCATGGCCATAAGAGTGGAGGATCACTGTTACAAGAGTAGATATTTTCAGATGAGTTTGCCTTGGCAAGGATCCACTTATGAAGGCTTATCCTATATAAAAGCTACTCAGTTTTTATCATCTATAAGATCCTGCAGCATCTCAGCACTGATTGTTTCTGCCTGCTTGTATAATTAATTGTAGTTTTTTTTTTTTTTGAAAGTTCAAATATTTCTGGTGACTTGTCATTTTTAAAAATTCCAATTTTCTATATTTTTATTCCTACTAATTAAAAATTAAATAAAAACCTTCTAATCTCTTTCTTACAAATTGGAAACCAGAATTGATGCACAGAAGTAACAATACAGACCATGCAGTTAATACAGACCCTAATAGGGCTGTATTAACTGCATGGTCAACCCATAAGAAAAATGACAATCAAGTATAACTAATAACCAGTGTGCAGTGTTGTTGGAGCAGTCATGTTTTCCCAGTATTTCTTAAAATATTCCAATCTTTTTATGGTAGTATTAAAAAACTTATTTTATTAGACCACCAAATTCAACTATTTATGTTCCTGGTAAGAAATGCATGTAAATAATTGCAACTTGGCATCAAGAAAGCAATAATGTGCTTTACCAGTTTTTGTAAAAGTACATCTGAAAATTCATGGATAACTATTTTAGCATTAAATATATTTTGATTAAAAGTGTTTGCACATACTGGTGGAATAACCAAATAACACCAAATATGATTTTTATGCCAGTGCTATTAATTTATGGGAGCTGCTGCGTAATCCTTACGCTAGTTGGTGATCTAGTAAAATTGCTAAGCACTGTATCTTTCTATTTTTCTTTTTTTGTCTGATTATCTGAATTTGGTGTCAGCAGGATGTACTCCACTTTCTGTGTTGCATCTAGACAAACAGTCCAAACAAATTTCACTGATTAGGTTTAGAGAGTGGTTTCCTTGGTGGTTTTGGTCCATTTCTCTGCAAGTTAAATTGTCATATTTACGCCTAAATTAAAGGCCTCTGTGATGAGTAAAACAGAAGTTTCTCTTTCACTATTAAACTCCCTGTTGTACTTGCACCATGGTATTAAACATGATGCAATTACAACAGTGCTTAAATCATTGTAACAACTGCAGGTTAGGAAAACGTCTTAAACTCTGGATGCAAGTTCAAACAAGTCAAATGCACCTCCAGGGTTTTTTGTTTTGAACCTTTGCCTTTATCCTAGTTAATAGAAATTTTTTTGATAAAGTCACATTAGTGTGAAAACACAGAGCACCAAGACCTGAAACTGTTTGGTTTTATTAATACTTAAAAGACAAAATTATCATAATCTTGTACATCATGAAAAGTGACCACTGAAAAGCCCGTGTCCTGTACAATAAGTGACACTCGAATACTGATCACATCTTATTTTCACCAAAGGACTCATTCCTCCCAAGCGTCTCCATAGATGTTCTTCTTCACTGTACAGAGACAGAAGGAGAAATGCAAATTATTTTACAAATTACTTAAAAGACAGGCTGTACTTGCAAATCGACCTCTATCTATCCACCACCATTTTTTAAGGAAATTATCCTAGTCCTCCTGTAAGGTGCAATCCACACTGCATCTTGAATTATAATAAAAGGCAGTAATGAGGTCAAATTTCTCCCTCCCTACTATTTGTTTCCATGCCAGTTGCTCCTCTGCTTGTTCACGATATAGATGCAGGCGCATCACAAGAATAGGATTCTGCTGCTACGACTAAATAAGGTTTTCTTCTTTGATGGACTTCCAGACATTTGGTTTTGTACATTTTACTTCCTTGAATTCTATAAGATTTTTTTTTCTCTCAGCTGTTGCTATAATTTAATTATTGTGTCATTTAATGCTAACTTACAGACATTGTCAGAATTATAGACTATGAAGCAACTCCTTTAACAGCTAACTTTGAACCTCTGTAAGACACCACTTTAGAGACACAAATATACAGTTCTATAATGTTGGTTATCTTCCATCTAGTTTGGCCAAGGAAGGAAAAAAAAAGTATACATCAAGTTCTATATATGCCTTAGCAGTAACCACCTACCATCTTTCTTGGGTCTTTCTGGCTCTTTTGCAGGTGGTGTTTTGAGCAATGCGTCAGCTTTCTGAGTGAGTGTGACCTCATAGTTCTCTCTGTTTTTGAGCCTCAGGTCCTCATAGAGGATAGACTTCCTCTTGGGCTCCTCCTCTTCCACATATGACTGGACTGAAATTTACAGGGCAAAAGATGGGATTTAAAAAAAAAAAAGTTCATTTCTACTGGAAAGTTTTGTTGAAATGTTTGGATGATTAAATTAACTCAGTCTGTGAATTCAGTGGACACCTTTTGCAACTTACATGTTTAATCTCAGTAAGAATACAAGTTACAATATAACATTTGCAAAAAAGTAGTTTGATGCTTTATACACTGATTACTTTTTAGAATGAGAGGATTAAAAATTAAAAATAGTATTTTGCAAAGAGGTATGTTTGGAGGTGTGAAGGGGAGACTTTTAAACCCAAGAACACTGTATCATCAAGCATGGGGGTGGTAGTTTATGATCTGCAGCTGTTTTGGTGCCAGTGGTACATTATA